GTTTCGCTGAAATAAACTCCGATGGCTTAGACACTCTCAAGTTATTGAGTCAATAATATTGAATACTTCTGCCTTTGATGATAGCTTTCACTTGGATAACAGTTCGGGTTTCACCGCTAACAAAAAACAACAGAATAGCTAAAGTGAAAGTCGACCATTACGAGAGCGAAATTGAAGGGCGAAATTGAAGAGCGGAATCACCCAGTAGGAGATACAGAAACGAGTCTATCCTGCAGGTAAAACCAAGGCCCTATCAACAACCCTTTTGTGGGGGTCCGACTGACCTGGCTGGTGGACGTCCTCTCTTTTTGGGGAACTCCAATCTCATCAGTAAACCCTCAAGCACATCGCTATCAATCTTCAACTTCTTGACTCGCTCTCTGAGCTGAATCACTGGCACCTGTCTAGCATAACGGCGGTTGAATCTAGCAGCGTCGACCCAGACTTTGGTACCTTCCACGACTTTGCCTTCCAGGGTGATACTGTCGATGTATCGCGGCGAGCCAAATATGAATGATGTACCCAAAGCGGCTCTAAGCTCCTCATATTTCTCGTTATCATCAATTTCTCCCCAGCGGCGCAGCAGTGCAAAGAGCTTGACGATCTCACACACTCTCAGGTCGCGGATGAAGTACTTAAAAGGATCCTCCTGCTCAAGGAGAGCTTTCAACTTGGAAGTTCCGAGCAGAAGCGTGTGCCTTAGTGGTGGCTCAGACGCCATACCACGATATACCCTAGTTCAGTCAATTTCTCTACCCGGGGCAGCTGAGCCATATCACGATATACCCTAGTTCACCCTCTTAGCTTGAGTGAGTCCGTCCAAGCTCTGACCCGTGTAGCACCGAATACCAACTGCTAGAGGTTAAGAACCACTCGCCGATACTCGCCGATTTCATGTTTCAGTACTCCCGATGTTGTGAGTATTCCCGATAGTGACTCGATATATTAACTACAGCATTTCCAGGTCAAATTATTTTTTTCACCGACAAACTTAACTTTTTACCCATTTGGTTAATGTTTTACCTTTTCAGTTAACGTTTTACCCATGGGTTTAATAAGATACCAAGAAAATTA